AGCCCGATGCGGGACTCGATCCCGGGACTCCAGGATCATGACCTGAGCCGAAGGCAGTCGCTTAACCAACTGAGCCACCCAGGCGCCCCTTGACAAGATTACTTTTGATACGTGGCCTCCAAAGTCACTGCAAAGGAGAGTGGAAATTCACGTAAAGGAGATTTGTACTTGCCAGGCGTGGAAGTGCAATTCACACTTTCACCCCTATTCCATTAGCCACATGAACTTGGCTGTGGGAAGTCTGGGAAATGTTGCCCGGAAAGAAAGCAAAATGGATTTGTTGAGCACGTAGCATTTTACTCTGCCGTGATAAACATTTACAAATGTCAGTTCCTTTTGTCATTTGTCTTGTATACCTCCATTAGAAAACCTGTAAGTTCCTTATCTGATGTTTTCTGTATGCACCCCTCTCCACACCTCCAGTGCCTTGAACATAATAAGGGCCCCAGTTGAGCAGTCACTCACAGAATGTCTAAAGATTATATCATATGCATCATGCTGCACTGGGCAAGTATAGAGTGGGACTGACCTGATGCATAGATGGAACTCACGTAGGGCCAAAAATGGAGAGGAACAAGCTGGCTGGGAGGATTGCTTTTCGGTGAGCTTGATGTATACATACAGCTCTCTAGGCCATTTTACTTTCTATGTGTGTTCCTTAGTCATTCAACGAGTATCCTTTTTTATCTTCAGTGATGAAAACGTATTACTTTTCAGAGCATCATATGTTACATGTCATCAGATAGTCTTGCTTTCCTCCAGTGGCCCAAGCAGTAAATCTCTGATTCAGCACTCTTGAGCCTCAAGTATATACTAGGTGCCAGCAATACAAGGATGAATAAACATGTCCCTTGCTTTTGAGAAGCTGAATTCAGTAACTGTATAAGGTGCTTGATGGAAGCATATGTCAAAGGCTATGAAAGACAGGTTCCTCAAAGAGACGAGGCAGAAAAGGGCATACTAAAAATCAAACTTAACAATAATAGTTAAATGTTACATTTTATTTTTAACTAAATTAAGCAAAAAGCCTTCTCAGATCTTTTTTATTTGACTTAGCCAAGAGATTGAAAAGGAAAGAGGACAGTGTCTTATGATAATTTGCTAAGACCATGATAGACAAATGTAACATCTTGTACCTATTTTGTCCTTCTAAAATCAGATGTGTCAGAAGAACTGGATACAAAACTTACTCCCAGTAGAAGATCAGAGAAAATGGAAGATACCTCAGAAGAGTGTGAAAATACAGCCTCTTCGGTTGCATTTGAAAATCTCAAGACAAATGTAACTGATATAATGTTAATCTTGATAGTGGAGAATGTAACTGGCCTGTCCAATGATGCTTTTCAAGTGGAAGTATTACGAGATTTTGACGTTGCTGTAGTTACCTTTCTAACACATGTGGGTAAGATCAAATGATACTGCATTTGCCAATCTTCTTTGCACCCCACTTTGGGATTTGAGACATCCAGCTAATGGAATGACTCTGAAAGCTTGACTTTTTCTCGTAGCTAGTAAGAAAGGACTTCAGGATAATATAGATGCTTTTTTATTTTGAAAGAGAAGCAAATTTGTTTTAAAACGAAATTCTGGTATGTTCAGTAAATCAGACTTCATTGTATGAGGGTGTGTGTGTGTGTGTGTGTGTGTGTGAGAGAGACAGAGAGACAGAGAGACAGAGAGAGAGAGATAACACACCCAAACAGAAATCTAAAGTCTAAGGTTATAAAAGTGATTCCAAGCAGAAGATTCAGCATCTTTACATGCGTTATCTCACTGGGAGAAGTAAATACTGATCTGTGTTACCAAACTGGACTTATTGGAATGTAGTAATGTTGATAATAGCAGACACTCATATAGAGATACTGTAAGTCAGGTACTATGCTAAGCTCATTACATGTGTTAATTCATTTGTTCCTTTTAACAACCTTTTGAGATCATTGTTTTTCCTCCTCATTTTACAGTTGAGGAGACAAAGAGGTGCAGAGATGCTAATAAATTCTTGGATTTGAACCCCGTGGCCCACCTCTACACAGCCTCTTCTCTTATGTCCTTTACCATGTATTTCCTTAGTACTTTCATGGTCATCCCACATGCAGGAGAGGAAGTGCATGGGATGCAGGAAATGAGTGCTCTTCAAGGTCCGTGTGAGGAGTCATGTCCAGAAGGACCAGGCAGTTTTCCAATCCGAGCCCTCACTGTTCCATGGCCATGGCAGGAGGATGGTCATGAAGTCAAAATTCTAGCTCCACCATTTGACTAATTATCAGAGCTTGTCCAGGTTACCCCCCTCTGTACTTGACTTCTCTCCTCCATAGACTAGAGGAAAAAATACCTACCTGATACAGCTTTTAAGAGGATTAAATGAGACAATGTGTGCAAAGCTGCTCTTAATATAGTCCCTGATGCGTAGTAAGGACTCAATGAAGGGAGCTATTCTCATGTCAGTTTTATAATTATTTCTTAAAAAGGAAGAACTGAGTGGACTTGCTTTTGTTCATTAATCAAAAATCTTAAATACCTACTATGTGCCAGGCACTTGTTTAGGTGCTGTGGGTACAGAGATGAATAATTCTTGGTTCCTGATCTTGAGGAACTCCTATGGAGTTGGAGACCCATATGTAAATGAAAAATGAAGATGTGAGAGAAGCTGCCTCCCTCCGCTGTGAACGGCAGGCTCTGGGGAATGGGAGGAAAGGGGATCCAAACAAGGTGGCTTGGTTTTGCCTTGCTTACTCCCTTCTATGAAGTTTATACTCCACTGGTCCCAGTCTCCCAGGTCCCCAGTACACTGTTATTTCCTGCCACTGCTCTTCTCTCTGCGGGAAACGTTTCCTCCCCTAATCTATAAGCTAAACTCTGCTCTGTCCTTCAAAACTCAGATCAGCAACCACTTACTCTGACAATCCTTGTGGGATTCCCAGTATTTGTCTTCCTGCATCATCTGATCCCACAATAGGCCATTTGTGTGCTTTCAAGACCCGCCTCCCCACTCCTGGATGGTGAATTTTCTTTTTTCTATTTTTTTTGAAGATTTTATTTATTTATTTGACAGAGAGAGAGACAGCGAGAGAGGGAACACAAGCAGGGGGAGTGGGAGAGGGAGAAGCAGGCTTCCCGCTGAGCAGGGAGCCCAAAGCAAAGTGGGACTCCATCCAAGGACTCTGGGATCAAGACCTGAGCCGAAGGCAGGCGCTTAACGACTGAGCCACCCAGGCGCCCCTAGATGGTGAATTTTCAAGGACTTGTTATATTCATCTCTCTATCTCCAGATCCTAGCACAGTGCCTGGCACATCATGAGCCCACCGTCGATATTTATTAATTTGAATGAGATAATCAGGCTGAGTCTTGAAGGAGGAATAGGACAGGATTAAAAAAAAATCGGAGAAGGGCATTTCAGGTACAGGTAACTATATATAGTGAGGCAAAAGAGAATAGGGTTTTCAAAATAATGACTAGTTTTTGTGGCAACAAGGAAAATAAAATGAATGGCAGAGAATAACCAGAGGTGATGTTTGGAAATTAGTTTGGAGTCAAATAGCCAACCAAGGGCGTTTTAAGCCTAGCTAAGGAGCGTGAACTGATGTCTGCGGGTAATGGGGAGCCATTGTAGAACTTGAGAAAGGAGGGGAGTGAGGAGATTTGTACTGTAGACAGAGCACTCGGGTAGGACATCAAGGGGGGTTGGAGAGAGCTGTGCCTGCAATCAGGAACACAGCTCCGTGGCAGTACGCCAGGTAAAATGTTCACATGTATGTTTGTTACTGCTCAGAGACCGGGAGTTGTAAGAACGTAAATTCTCACATAGAAATGAAAATCTTGGGGTGCCTGGGTGGCTCAGTGGGTTAATTGTCTGCCTTCGGCTTGGGTCGTGGTCCCAGGGTCCTGGGATGGAGCCCCACGTCGGGCTCCCTGCTCAGCGGAGCCTGCTTCTCCCGCTCCTCCCTGCTTATGCTCTCTCTGTCCATATCTGTCTCTCTCTCTCAAATAAATAAAATCTTTAAAAAAAAAAAAGAAATGAAAATCTTGCCTCTAAAAATTGAGTGCTTAGCTATCTCCTTTATCTCAATTAATATCCAGTTTCTTTTGTATAACATAAAGGTATGATCATAATTTTCTAATGGATGGATGGATTAATTGATTGATTTTGATTTGTAGATGCTGTGACATTTGTTAATGATTGTCCCAGGCACCACTCAGTGAAACAACTCCAGCTTTCTCCAAGACTTCTGGAAGTGACGAAAACAATCAGGGTTGAAAACCTGCCACCTGGTGTTGATGACTATAATCTGAAATGCTTATTTGAAAATCCTCAAAATGGAGGAGGAAGAATTGCCAGTATTGAGTGTTTGCCTGAAGAGAATTCGGCTCTGATTGAGTTTTTTGACAAAAAAGGTAATATCTATGAGCCTGATTTTGTGAACCTACCTCACATGATCTAAGCCCTTTTAGCAGATCTTATCAGTTATCAGTTGAGTTCTGATGCATTTTATTTTTTATTCATAAATTTCACTGGAAATCCATTAGTAATCCTGCTCATCTGGGATATGATCATTAATGAGTCCAGTGATTTAAACTTTAGAGAAGCAGGGCCGAGTTTTGAAAGATATAAGGAGATTCTCTCATGAGTCTCTACCTATAGTGAAAAATCCATAATTCTTAGACTCTTTGAAATACTGTATTAAAAAAAAGATGATCTGTGTTTTAGCTGTCTACTTGGTAGAAATTCTCAAGTTCATCCCAACAAGGCTAGGTAAAGAAATACTCAGAAACACATACACTTCCTGTGAAGTATCACTACTTCCCCCTTTCACGTGTCAGTCTCATCATTCAGAAATTCATAGGGGTGGTTAATGGCATCCAGCGGATGCCTGCTGGATTGTTCTTTGCAGCAACCCCGTGAAAACCATGTTCAGCTGAACCTCAGGGAAACACCTCTAAGGGTTTTGTAGATATTAGATTGCCAGTTCTCGGAGGCATGTACAGTCAGCTTGGAGATTCCACTTGATGTTCAGAGGTGCAGGCGGAGGCGTGGGAATTAGGGGGCCAGCCTTCTTAGGGAGAGAAGGAACAGTGGGTTTGGGACTAACAGGGGGAGCATGAGACACGATCACATGGTATTCCACCCATCGAAGATAAACTGCTCCGTGGGGGATCCGTGGAGGAAACTCCCTTTGGCTTTGAGGAGCTGCGGAAACTGGGGTGAAGATACGCTTTGGGTTAAAATGGAATGAAAGTCCTAGTGTTCCTTGAGCAGGGGGACAAAAGAGGAGCTTCTGTCACAATTTCTTTCAATCTCCCCGAGCCTGGGCCTGGGCCCAGGGAGAGAGCTCCATAAAGCTGCCTACTCTAGAAGTGAGCCTCCCGTTTATGGTGGGGCTTCGAACCTCTTGAAGGCCTGGGGCAGTTGGGTGTGTCCTCAGAGTGTCTACATTACACTTGTATGACTATTTAATTAGGGTTGTTTTATGCAGAGCCGTGTCTGGGAGCAGTAGGATACTCTCAAAGCTCCCCTTCATCCTGACCTCTTTGTACCATCTGACTATGTTGACCATGCCTCCTCGTCTAAACTCACGAACTCTCTGTTCTCCGTGGTCTGAGATATACCGATTTTCCCTTTCTTTCTGTGGCCGCTCCTTCTTATAATCATGACTTACATTTGCATAGCTCTGCAGGGTGCTGCAAAGTGCATTCGCAGACACTGCTTTGTGGGCATTGTTATTACTGTAATCCCTGTTTTACAAATGAGAAACAGGCACAGAAAGGTCAAATAACTGGACTAAGTTTACACAGCTAGTGTAGTGACAGAGCCAGGATTTGAACCTGGCTAGTCTGGCCCTTAATCTGTGCTCTTAAGGTCTCCATTCTTTGCCAATCACCTGTTCACCTATAACATTAATTTTTCTTGGGGCGCCTGGGTGGCTCAGTCGGTTAGGCGTCTGCCTTCGGCTCAGGTCATGATCTCAGGGTCCTGGGATTGAGCCCCGCATTGGG